AGCTCTTCTGCTGATTTTAATACTGAGACATCTTCAAAACCATATGCAGTGAGCCTCGAGCCAGGGAAAGATTGAGCTTGAGGTCAGGGCACCTGGGCTGTTTTCTGGACTTCCACCACCAACAGGCTCTAGGACCTCATTCAGGTCCCCTCCCCTCCTTGAACCAACTTCATCTATTAACTGAGTGGTTGGACTAGCTGGCTATTTCTGGCTTAAAAATTCCCAGATTTTATTTATGGAGGAATTTCAAGTACTGGGAGAGAAAGAAGAAAGTGGAAGGCAGGAGTCTTTGGACTCATTACACTGAGACCATCAGTGATACCCCAGCCCCCTGCCCTTATCTGTAAGGCTGCCTTCAGATATGCGCCCTTCTTGTGAGGTGGCAAAGATAGAAAAGAAAAAGTTCTCACACTGGAACCCAAACCAGCCATACCTATGAATGCTCCAGAAGGACACTGAGATAATAAAGCATAAAAGCTGAATAGAGAATAAGATCTGAGGATCTAATGCATAACATGGTGACTACAGTTGATAATACCGTATTATCTAATTGGCATTTGCTATGAGAGTAGAAAGTAAAGAGTAGAAAGTAAACACAAGAAAGGTAACTATGTGAGCTGATGGATGTGTTGATTAACTTGATGGAGGGAACCCTTTCCCAATGGACGGGTATATTAACTCTGCACATTGCACGTATATTTTGAGTATCTGATCATTTTGTCAGTTTACCTCAATAAAGCTGAAAAAAAAGTCAAAGAGAGAGAAGAACATGAAAGGGAATTTGGAGAGGCTGCTCCAACTTTTCACCATCAACCCAAGTAGCCCTGCACCCCCATCCAGAGGACCAATGGGTCTTTTGTGAAAGACGGCATGGTGGGTGAGGGGTCTATCATTATCTCTGGTAAGAGGAATTCCCTCATTTTCCTTTCTTGCTAACTCTCCACACTTCCATCTCTGGGCCCAGGCTGAGATCTCATCATCTCCTTTTTCCTTCTTCTTGCCCCATGTCCTCGATTTCCCAGCAGGTCCACTTCCCAACTCCTTCACTCATGATCAGCTACTCCTGACTAGCCTTTTCTTTGTGAGCGCCCTGGACTACATCTCAGCGGTAGGTAGTGTTTGCTGCTGGCAAAGGCAAAGGAAGAAAGGATGGCACAACTTCTCCAGAAAACGCTTGAATAATATATGTGAAGAGTCTTTAATATATTTTATCCTGTGACTTGTTCTTCTTTCTCTTATCCAAAAGAAGTCAGAAGAGGTTCTAGCAAAGTATGAGTGAAAAGGCAATCCAGGCAGATGAAAAAACTGCAGGCGTTGTAATATTTGTGGCTCTGAGTAACAGGAAACAGCAACAAATTGGCTTAAATAATCAGCACATATCTAGAGAAATCTGGAGGCAGGCGAGCCTTCAGGGTTGGTAGATTTAGCAACTCAAAAAATGTAGTCTAACATTCAGGTGCCTTCCAGGTCTCTGCTTTTCCTTCCTCAACATTGGTCTCTTGCTGAGTTTGGCTCCCCTAGTGGCCAACAGCGTTTCTCAGCATTCTTGTTCACGTCCAAATGGAGCCCGAGAGAGCCTGATTTCCCAGGGCTTTTTCTGAAAAATAAGAAAGAAGTTTTCCCAGAAGTCTTCAGCAAACTTCTCATTGGCCAGAATTGGGTCACATGGCAATTCCCAAATTAATCACTGTCTGGACAGGAGGAGATGGTAGTGGAGAAGGGAGTTACCCGGAAGCCAACAATTCTACCCCTTCTTACTGAGATCAATTCCCAGAGAGTACTGACTCAATCCTGTGGGGACGGGCGCGAGGTTTGGGAGTCGGTCACCTCGTGCAGCCCAAGGGCTCAAGCATATCCACATGAAATGGTATAGCTGGTTGGGGGAAATGGTGAGTAGTCCAATTCCTTGGCATCATAAATTCACTTGAGCACAAAGGGCCTTGGAAATTCAACTATTAGAGCGCTTCCCAAGCCCAAACCTTTGGGTCCTTACAATAGAGTCCTTATACATAAAAAAATAAAATTTACTTTGAAAAACTAAATAATAAAGAATGTAAGCTGATGTGCTATGGGGTAGAGATAAGCCATGCTTCAAAGAAAGAAGAGAGAGTACAACATAAAGCCACTGTAGAACATCTCATGAAGGAGGCGGATTGGTGTTCGACTGAAGGATAAGAAAAATCTCCTGGTAACTTGCAACTGGCTTTGCCCATCAAGGTAGCTGAACTGAAACAACTTTGAGCTATGAGCTACCGAAAAATATTCAGAGGGAATGAATTTGTGATGTCTTCATTGTAGAGATGCTATGATTTTGGTCTATTCTGGAATTGCTGCTCACTTCGAAGAAATTTTCCACTGCGGAACATTTCTGATATGTTTTTTGTTGTTGTTAAATCCCTACACAAAATCACAGCCCACCTTGCTGTTCTTTGCTAAACAAAATTTTTTCTCAATTATCCTGCTCTCCTTAATCACATGTAATTTTTAAACTAGCTGTTACTGACAGTCCTTTCCTCCTATTTACTGGCAATGTTTTTAGGTCAATCCCACATCCAATTAGGGGAACTTGGAAAAAGGAAATCCTACAGCAAAATGCCATATGCCTTACAGTTTAATTTTAAATACATAATACTCAAGGATAGCAACTTGGCAAAGAGAGAACTGGACCCTTTCGCTGGAAGACCCATCACTCGGGTCCATGTCAGATTACTGGCCTGAAATCCCAGCATTTGTAAATACAGACCCAAGAGGGATGATAACCCTCCATTTAAAGGTGGAGGTTTTCTTTCCCCTTTTTTCCATTGCTGCTTCTCTCAAAGCTTCCCTGAGGTATTTACGTTTCCGGGGAATATTTTCAGCATACACTGACCAGGTGGAATGTGGGTTAAGTTTCTAACGCTGCCCAAACACCCCCTCCACTGTGATCAGTCCTTTCCACCAGAAAAACTAGAGTGCTGTGACTGGGGTAAGGTCTTTGTGTTTGCGCTAAATAACTCCTATACCTCTGTCAGCTTTCTTTGACAAGATAGCTCTTCCCTGCCACTGTACAGATCACCTTCCTATCTGGAAAGCATGTCTGAGGATAAAATTCTTCTCCTTGTTTTGTTAAAAGAAGCCAAGTTCCAAGAAAATCCAGAGGGATTCCCACAGTCCCTTAGTCACGGAAGCAGCTAGCCTGAAGGGGCATTCAAGTGAGCTTCTCTTCTCGCCTATCTATCTCCCCAGGGGAGATGAGCTTTCTACAAAAGGGAAGCTGTATCCTTTTTGTGGGCCTCTTGTGGACCTTACGCCCCCAGCTGATCTGTCTAAAATTAGCAAGTGGGTGAATAAGCAGGGGGCCATCAGCTGGCCATCCCTCCAAAAACTGTGCCTAAGTGCTTGATATGATGAAGAATTAATAGCAAGTGAAAAGAAAAAATTGCCTTTCAAGGAGCACACAGGATGCTAGGGAGAAGGAAGGAGAGGGACATGTATGGCTGCTGACTCTGGAATCTTCGGATCTGTTTGGATGAGTCATTACCGATGACTTCTACAACAGGAATCTGATTTGACTAATTATCCTATAGAAACTTTTGTTTCTGTCTCTCAACATGTGAAATCTATCTGGCTCTCAGGTTTAGTTATTACTTAAGCAACGAACCAACATGTGTCTTAGGAACATACTTGTCATCTTCCAGAAGTACTCGATGTATATTGAGTAACTAGAAAACATTCATGCTGTAATCCACACACACGTGCCCCTTGTCACACAACACTTCCACACAGGAAAAGTGAAACTGCCCTTTGATGAACGCAAACTCGTGGGTGTTTCCAGCAGTTAGGAGTCCTGCCAGGTGTGAGTCCTAAGAAGGAAGGTGAACCCGAGGGCTTTCCCCAGCCTGTGGCTGAGATCCTTATTTGGTAAAGTTACTACCTAGCGTCCTGAGTCTCAAGGCCAGCCTGACAGCGCAGGTCCACAGCAGGGAAAGTGTGGCTGCTGACATCCCAGCCCTAAGAGATGAATGGAATTCCAGGCAGCTGGAGTCACGCTGGCTTGAGACAGTGGTTTGGAGACCAGACTTCCAATGACAGAAGCATTAAGCAGCTGCGCTCATGGTAATTGGTGCACCCACAGAAATGTAACCCACACCTCTGTTTCAGGAGCTGAAAAATGAAAAGAACGTTGAGGGAGGAAAAAAGGAAATAAAATGATAGGTGGAGGGTAATTTATTACTTTATGGGTCTGTTCTGTAAATAGTTTGACCCCAGAGCCAGATGGTTCCGCAAATCCTCCAACCAGGAGTCACGTTAAGAAGCACGAGTGGGCAGAAAAACTGTTTTTCAAGACACAAGCTCAGTTCTGGTTTGAGGGAAGTAGATAGGAGTACGTTTCCTGAACATTCCTGGCTAGAAAGAAGCGGTCTTCGCGCGTCCCCTTCATCAGAATACATCTGCCGCCCCCAAGCGGCCAGCCGTGGAAGCGCGGTAGCAGGGCGAGAGGCGACTTTCGCGGGGACTTGGGCGCCCGGCAGCTGCGGAAAGCGTGCCCCGACGGGCAGCGCGAACGCGGGCTCTGTTCACCGCCCGGCGGGCCGACGCGACCCCGCACTCAGCTCCCTTAGGGCTCGGGCGGGCTCATTCGGTTTTACAAACAGGCTCAGTCCCCAAGTGTCAGCCGTCGCCCAGGTATTCAAGGAGATGGGTTTGCTTGAAAGTCCCCCTAAGGGTCTGGGGGGCTAAAGCCTCGTCGCCGCTCGGGTTGCCCACACTGACTCCGGGGCCGAAGCGCTGATCGCGGGTGCGCCAAGGCTGCGTGGGCGGGCACCTATTTTTCAGAGACTTTCCACCGCTCTTCGCCCGAACCCCCCCCGCCCCCCACTCTCTAGCTGAAAAGTTATGCGCCGGGCAGCGGGGGGCGGAGAGAGGAACCCAGACTGCCCCCCCGCGTCCTGCCCGGCCGCCTCCCATTGGCCAGAGGAATCCCCAGGAATGTGAGCGCGCCGTTAAAAGCGCGCCGCTCCGCCGCCTCGCCAGCCACTGCCTCCGAGCCGGCCGCCGAGTCCCCGCTCCCGCGAGCCCTTCCCGCGCAGCCTCCGACTCCCGCCCCGCGCTCTCCGGGACTCGGCGCCCGTCGCTGCGCCCTCGCCGCCACCCTGGGCCGCTGCACCCGAGTGCACCCAGGTAAGGAGTCCCCGGGCGGCCGCCGAGGACCAGTGCTGCCCTGGTCAGCCACCTTGAGCTCCGAGGCTTCAGCCCCTCGGCGGACCCCGGATCTCCTACTCTTCGCCTTCCCCCGTGTCCCTGTCGTCAAAGGGCTCCAGAGCTCTTCTCTCCGGCCTTGGGGTTCATAAACCAACTCGTCAGGACTCCCCAGGATTTTCTTTTATTCTGCCAGCGCTCCCCACACCTTTCTATCAGTCTTCTAGAGGAGAGTCTCTACTTCCCCATGCCTCCCTGCGCCCCCAGACTGCATCTCCTGGTCCTGCTGTTTGCCCTCAGCTTCCCAAGGAAAAGTCCCCAGGTGGTTGGTCTTTGCCCCAGGGCCAACCCCCAACTTTAAAACTACAGTCTCCTCCCCTCGACTCTTTTTCTTCCTGATGCCCTGTCCAAAGTAAATACTGACGCCCCCCCACCCCTGCCCCGTCCAGCAAATGTGGGGCCAGAGGGGGATGCCCCAGGGCCCTGGCCCCAAGCCCAGCCCCCAGGTTGTGCCCACCCTCCCTGCTTGGCTGCCTCTGACCTTGGGCTCTGTGTTTCCTGTTACAGGCTCCCTGCTGGGCACAAACAGCTCCACCATGGGGCTGACCTGGGGACTCAGTGTCCTATTCCTGTTGCATGCATGTGGCTCCAGCCGCATTCCCGGTGAGTCTATGTATACCTTTTGAGAGGAGAGGGAAGATGAGGAGGTCCGGGTTAGCCCGAGGGTGCCTTCCTCCCAGTCTCTCCTCTGCCAGGTGTCTCTCCCCAGAGCCCTGCCGGAACATCAGCAGGCAGTTTCCCTCTGACCCTGGTGTTCGTTCAGTTCTTGCCGTGGTTGCCCAGAGTTTTCGCCCTGTCCTTGAGTTGCCATCCCTGGCCTCAGCCTAGAAAGCTCACTGTGTGTCTTGCTCCTATTGAACAGAGTCTGGGGGAGACAACGGCGTGTTCGACATCTTTGAACTCACCGGGGCTGCCCGTAAGGGCTCCGGGCGCCGCCTCGTGAAGGGTCCTGACCCTTCCAGCCCAGCTTTCCGCATTGAGGATGCCAACCTAATCCCCCCAGTGCCTGATGACAAGTTCCAAGACCTGGTGGATGCTGTGCGGGCAGAGAAAGGCTTCCTTCTCTTGGCTTCCTTGAGGCAGATGAAGAAGACCCGAGGCACGCTGCTGGCCATAGAACGGAAAGACCACTCGGGCCAGGTCTTCAGTGTGGTCTCCAATGGCAAAGCGGGCACCCTGGACCTGAGCCTGACCGTGCAGGGGATGCAACACGTGGTGTCGGTGGAAGAAGCGCTGCTGGCGACCGGCCAGTGGAAGAGCATCACCCTGTTTGTGCAGGAGGACCGGGCCCAGCTGTACATTGGTTGTGAGAAAATGGAGAACGCGGAGCTGGACGTCCCTGTCCAGAGCATCTTCACCAGGGACCTGGCCACCACGGCCAGGCTCCGCGTCGCGAAAGGAGGGGTCAATGACAACTTCCAGGTGAGGCGTCCTCGTTGTTGTTGGGGTTGACTGCTCAGCAGCTGACCTGTCAGGAGGGCTAGAACAGGAGAGGCAGGGTTTCTGGTATGGGAGACCCTGCCCGTGGCCTAAAGCAGTGGTTCTCAGACGTCAGGGAGCATCAGACTCACCTGCAGGGCTTGTTAAAGCACACACCGCTGCACCCCATTCCCGGAGTTGCAGATTCAGTGTGTCTGGGATGGGGCCTGATGATTTGTATTTCTAACAAATTCCAGGTGAAGCTTCTGGTGCTGGTGTTCTGGGGACCGCACTTTGAAAACCACTAAAGGAAACAAGAAATGGTTTTCCTATAGCCACCTGTTCAAGCCTTAGAGACTCCTTATGCTCTTTTCAAGAAAATAACTTATTTCAAAGCATTCTACCAATTGTACTGTAGCTTGAAATGGATACTGCGAGCAGAATAAATACCACTTTGCTATTTGATTCCCCATGGGGATGGAGCTGGTCTCGGGAGCCAGTCTCCGAAGGTGAAAATAGTGATTATTTGCTGCTGCAGCTTCTTCCTCGCTTAAACATCTAGGTTTTTGCAGCTGTGCTTTGAAACTCCCACATCTAACTCTTTGACACTGGAGAGTATCATTTAAGCCTGTCCTTAGTATCCGATTCTATCTCCTGTGTACCCAAGTAGGCTGATAACGGATTTCTTTGTAAAGTACTGAAGACTTGGCAGGAGATCCAATTAAGATTGTGATTGTTTGGCAGTTTACGTTGGTGTGTTATTTTGACATGGTAATCTCTAAAGGGAGCTCTTTCAAACTTTTAGAACGTCCATTGTGTCCTTTTCCTGGCATAAACCGTTTCCCCCACCCATTTCCCCCCAGCACCCCCACCACCACTCTACAAGTAATGTGTGTCCTCTGCCCCCAGGGGGTGCTGCAGAACGTGAGGTTTGTCTTCGGAACCACACCAGAAGCCATCCTCAGGAATAAAGGCTGTTCCAGCGGTGAGTACCCTTCTATTCTGGGGGGCATATGAGGACATTCAGGGGATTCCACCCAAAACAAGCTGACAAACTTAGGGAACCGCGGTTGTGCATAAATTACCCAGGGTAACTTAGTTAAGAGGTGTATAAAAGTGATCTCAAAGGGTGATCCACCTATGTGCCTCCCCTCCCCCTGTGTCCTTCACCCCAGGTATAATGTCTTTCCAGCTAGGAGCTCCAGGGGCTGGCCAGTGAAAACAGCTGTGTTAAGACCTTCCATGACTTTTCTCATGGCATTCCTTTCTTTCTTGGCAGCCACCAATGTCCTTCTCACCCTCGACAACAATGTGGTAAACGGCTCCAGCCCTGCCATCCGCACTAACTACATAGGCCACAAGACGAAGGACCTGCAGGCCATCTGCGGCATCTCCTGTGATGAGCTGTCCAGCATGGTCCTGGAGTTGAGGGGCCTGCGCACCATCGTGACCACGCTCCAGGACAGCATCCGCAAAGTGGTCAGTGGCCTCCACTCCCTAGCCCTTTAGCATGAGCACCTGAAGGTGTATCACAGATGACCCCCAATGAAAATGAAGATGACACTAATGACCTTTCTCCCCCTTCTAGACTGAAGAGAACAAAGAGTTGGCCATTGAGCTGAGGAGGCCTCCCCTCTGCTACCACAATGGAGTTCAGTACAGGAATAACGAGGAGTGGACCGTTGATAGCTGCACGGAGTGCCGCTGTCAGGTGAGGGATCATTCCACTGTCTGAAGCCAGTCTGTAGGGAAATACCAGATGGCCACACAAGCTCTTTCTATGCTCCATAGCCTGATAACCAAAGTGGTTGCTTTTGGGGTTTTTTTTTTTGTTTGTTTCAAGATGCAATTGTGACCTCCCATAAAATCTTGAAACTCTCAAAGTTTTTCAAAGTCTTCATTATTCCTCAGGCTAAGTATCTAAAAGAACAAATCTGCTAAGACATTTGAGTAATTTACCTGCTTTCGTTCAAAGGCTAGGTGTTGAATGTCTGGTAAATAAAACCTGGTCGGAACATTCCTTTTATTTCCCCAACCCTGACTTGCATTCAACAATGACCTCGAGATTCCCTTAATACAGTGCTGCTTGTTCGAATCACTTAGCCCGGACACTGAGGACGTAACTGTCCACTTAGCTCAGAGGGTACCACCTGCAGTGTGTGGATCCCTGGCTCTCCCCAAAGCCAGTACCGGGCGCCTCGGTTTGCCTGATGCACTGAGCAGAGTCCGCTTAAATACAAATCCTGGATTGCTAGATTTGGGAGCCACCTTGATGTCTGTTCGTCTCCAACGTAATATAAAACCAGAACTATCCATGAAGGGGGAAAATGCTCACTGATCTTGTCTCTCTAAAAAGGAAAATTTTTAAATTTAAAAGTCCTGACTGCGTTTGGAGTTCATTTTCAGACACCGATTAAAAGACTTGACTCAAGATGTTTGGTGGTTCCCTTTGGATAAATTCTACATGCTGTCACTTCCACCACTCATGTAGCAATTAAGGACTCTCTAAGGCACTAAAACTGTCTCCACAATATGGTGCCTGCAAATCAGACAGATCTATTCAACTCCTTCCACTGGAGTGTTTACAGCTCTGACCACGTTTCGTCTTGTAATTTGAAATGTTACAGTATATAAACTTCTGCTTACAATATGCTTAGTAACCCATGTCTCCCTCTTGCCCTGCAGAACTCCATTACCATCTGCAAGAAAGTGTCCTGCCCCATCATGCCCTGCTCCAATGCCACGGTCCCTGACGGAGAATGCTGCCCACGGTGTTGGCGTAAGTTCGTAAAACCACATAACCGTTCTTGAGTGACGAGGTCCATTCTCCATACACACAGGACAGCTGAAAGGGGACACTGGAACCCCACCCCCCTTTCCATTGTGTGTTTAAACTCCGTTTCCTGCTGCGCCATCTGGTTAACGGACGGCTTGGCTGCTCTCTAGGCAATAATGATCTTGGCACAGCTTACTGATTTCGACTTGATGCTCGGAGGAAAGGAGAGACGAATGTGTAGCAGCAATAGCTCTAAATGGACTGCTTAGATTTTAACACTATGGCCTAGAGGGAAGAAAAATCTGCTCACCAGATAAATTGACGGTCTGAGCACTTGCACTGAACTTAGTTGGGCCTGAAGGTTACATCCATTTTACCTGCAGGAGTAGGAAGCCTAAGACTAAGAGCAGTTTCCGTTTCGGCAGAAATAAGGCCCTGTATTGTTCCATGGCACCCTATCCCCTGGTTGGTGTTGCCAGTATAAATTATTCACTTTGCTGGGACAATATTGAATGTAGTACGTACAAGTCATGAAATGATTCAGCACACTTAAGACCTGAAGCAGGAAAGTAGCACTCCCCCTACACCTCACACACCCCTACACAACTGGTGGACACAGCCGGTCACAGCTCAGAGTAAGTAGTCTCGTCCAGGGACCGTGCTAGCGCGGTTGGCACTGTGAGGATCGTGCGCGTATCCGCTGCTGCTCAGCTTTCACTTCAGGTGTGGGCGGAAGGGAACTGAGCGAGCCGGGGACCAGCGGAGTCCTGACCTTGAATCCGGGATTGCTAGGAAAACTTCCAACTGCCGGCAAGAGAAACAAGTTCTCTGTCTTGTGTCTGATACAGCTACATGCGATTGCAGTCCTGGGGCCCGGGCAGACGGTAAACAAGCCCATTCTCTTGTGAAAATATGTCCGGAGCAGGCCCCACATGCTAGGGTAAGAGGAGCTGCACACTGATGAGCCTCATGACCGAGTTGGAGGCAGAGCCAGCGGTAGCGAAGCTGCCTTCAACTCATCTGCCAAACACATGGTCTGTGGCTCCCCTGACAGTCCGGAGTGACTCCCATGAGCCGCCTCCACATCTAGTGCTCTGGGAAGCTTGAGACTGGAAATGCGTATCCAGATATCTAAAGTCAGGAAAGGGAAACTCACTTAAAATGCTGAGACAGGAGGCCCCAAACATGTGGGGAGAAGGCGGGGCTGTGCTGAGCCTTCCGTTCCCCCGCTGCTATACATGCAAGGACTTGGGATAGACCCTTCGGCTACTGGCCTAAGACCTATGTGGCTTTTTGCCCTCTGGCAAAGGAAGAAGGTCCTAAAGAGCGCCAGCTACAGAATAGCTTGTCTTCGCTGATCACACGCTAAATGAACCCACTTCCCCTGCAGCCAGCGACTCTGCGGATGACGGCTGGTCCCCATGGTCTGAGTGGACCTCCTGCTCTGCAACCTGTGGCAATGGAATCCAGCAGCGCGGTCGCTCCTGTGACAGTCTCAACAACCGATGCGAGGGCTCCTCCGTCCAGACGCGGACCTGCCATATTCAGGAGTGCGATAAGAGATGTGAGCATCTTGGCCGCTTAGCAGTGCAGAGCACAGACTTGGCCTTGTCCTCAGCCAGACAGCATAGAGATTAAGGGTACAGGTTCTCAACGGTCTGCATCTGAACCCCAGTTCTGCTCACCTCTGCACCCTTGAGCACAACTTCCCTCCCTGAGGCCCTTTCCTCACCTGCAAATTGGGGGGAATAATAGCTTGTGATTGGGTTATCTTGAGGATTTCATTTAGGTAATGCATTCAAAGCGGTTAGCACAGAGCTTGACACCTGGTGAGCACCCTATAACTGTCAGCTTTGTATTTTAGTTAAACAGGATGGCGGCTGGAGCCACTGGTCCCCATGGTCATCTTGTTCCGTGACCTGTGGCGATGGTGTGATCACAAGAATTCGACTCTGCAATTCTCCGAGCCCCCAGATGAACGGGAAGCCATGTGAAGGCGAAGCCCGGGAGACCAAAGCCTGCCAGAAAGACGCGTGCCCCAGTAAGTGAGAGCGGGCCACACAGCTGAGGGCTCAACAGCTCCATGCGGCTATAGGTGTCTGTGGCCTCTAGTTCGGTGGGTCGTGGGGTTGGGGGGGAGGTTACTTCCTAGGGAACAAGTAGAAGCAAAGTCCTGCATGCTCAGCAGCTTCTTTTAATAAAAAACATAAAGGAAACCATTTCAAATTCTCTTCCCAAACATTCTTTCCATGTGTCAGACGAGTGGAGAACAAGTTAGAGTGTTCTGGGACAGGTGAGGTGTTTGAAAATTGGCCTTAACTTGGGCCTGTGCTTCACTTCTTTGCAGTCAATGGAGGCTGGGGTCCCTGGTCACTGTGGGACCTCTGTTCTGTCACCTGTGGAGGAGGGGTGCAGAAACGTAGCCGGCTCTGCAACAACCCCACACCCCAGTTTGGAGGCAAGGACTGTGTCGGTGACGCGACAGAAAACCAGATCTGCAACAAGCAGGACTGCCCAATTGGTGAGTCTTGCAGCCCAGGATAAGAGCACCCTTGGGAGTTCAGGTTTCTTTGTTGTGGTTTCACTGAAAGCCATGGTCAGCATTCGGTGCGGGGGGGATGGGGAGTTCTAGCTCTGAATGGTCCTGTGTGTTCGGACTATAGTATCCGTCTGGCATTTCCGAGTAATCCCAACACGTGAACGGTTACATAGAGCCCACGATGTTGAATGCTTCATTGTCTTGTGACGAGCGGGCCGACAGGAGCCGCTCAGACCAACCGTGTGCCTGTCTCCCTGATCTCAGATGGATGCCTGTCCAATCCCTGCTTTGCTGGGGTCAAGTGCACGAGTTACCCAGACGGCAGCTGGAAGTGCGGTGCCTGCCCCCCGGGCTACAGCGGAAATGGCGTCCAGTGCCAAGACGTGGATGAGGTGAGGACATACTGGCGGCGTTACCAGGCGTCGGGGAAGCAGCTGACCTGGTCCCAGCCCCTTCCCGCAGCGGCGCCACCCACACAGGAGGCACACTGTTGTTTCTCCCACAGTGCAGAGAAGTACCCGATGCCTGCTTCCACCACAGCGGCGAGCACCGGTGTGAGAACACGGACCCCGGCTACAACTGCCTGCCCTGCCCGCCGCGCTTCACGGGCCCGCAGCCCTTCGGCCAGGGTGTGGACTACGCCACCGCCCACAAGCAGGTAGACAGGACTAGACCCCCCGACGGGAGTGGAGCGGGGGCCGAGCGGGGGCCGTGGCCGAAACAGCCGGCCAAGGGAGGCCTGTCCTGTCACAGCCTTCCCAAAAGACGGGCAGGGGGCCGAGCGTACGGCCTAGGGCTTAGAAACGGGCCAGGACAGTCCATTGAAAACCCAGCAGGGGGAGAAATAGCCCCTCACACTAGAAAATGCTGCTCTGGGGACTCAGGGGCGAGCTGATGGGCTTGTACATCCACCGGGGGAGAAGCGGGAGGGACAGAGGTACCCCGCACTCCTCCTCACGGAGCCTCCGTGTCCGTGGAGAGGCGAGGGATGCGGGGACTCTCTCGGAGACTCTGCATTCACTTCGGGACGCTGTGCCCGCAGGTGTGCAAGCCGCGCAACCCCTGCACGGACGGGACGCACGACTGCAACAAGAACGCCAAGTGCAGCTACCTGGGCCACTACAGCGACCCCATGTACCGCTGCGAGTGCCAGCCCGGCTACGCGGGCAATGGCATCATCTGCGGGGAGGACACGGACCTGGACGGATGGCCCAACGAGGACCTGGTGTGCGTGGCCAATGCCACCTACCACTGCAAGAAGGTAGAGCCCGCTTCCCTCGCATGCCTCCCAGAAGAAGGCGTGTCGCCCTGACCCAGGGAAGGGGCTGAGCCATTTTTAATGCTTAAAGTTTGAAAGTGAAAGATGAAATCACACAAAGGCCAAATGGCATGAAGTCTTCACATTTAATCCCCTGGTGCCAAGAACATGAAGAGGGCGGGCCCTGTTGGCCAGTGCACTCCAGAGCAGGTTCCTTCCTCCCGAAAAGTGTTCACGACTCTCCCAAATACCAGCAGGGCAGGACCAGTGCTCCCAGCATATATAAAGCACAGGGTATTTGTACAAACGACATATCCCCCAAGAAAATGCTCAGTTTCGTGTCCTCCCGTGAGAAACCGTAAGATGCCATTGGGGAGCACAGCAGTTCTGGTCCGTGTGGGGCAGCTGGGGGCCGTGCCCCGGGCTCGGGCTGAGCGAGGGGCATGCGGACCGAGCTTTCATGTGCATCCTCTCTTTCCAGGATAACTGCCCCAACCTGCCCAACTCCGGGCAGGAGGACTATGACAAGGACGGGATCGGTGACGCCTGTGATGACGATGATGACAATGATAAAATCCCAGACGACAGGGTAAGGGTGTAGCCCATGCCTCCTCTGTTCCCCTTCTTCGTGCGAGACTCTGACGCAGAGTTACTCGGGGCCGGTTGGAACACCTAGATGTTGCCAAGAGAAGGTTTAAAATGAGGGTTTTGGGTTTTCCTCACAGCCTCCCCCACCCCAGGTTTGAGCAAGAAATGACAACGTATGAACAAACGACACTCAGCTCCCCAGATTTGTTTCACATGCTTCCCTAAATTGCAGTAAAATTTATATCGGACACACTGAGAACTGGGGCGGTGTCCTTCTATGTACATTTCACCGACTTGTAACCCACAGGAATCCATTTTTCATTCGGTAGGCCCTGGCTTTCAATTTCTACAGTGAGGATTAAGTAGAAGATGTTACAGATGGTTGTAGGCTTGAGCTGGTTGCACGGACAGTGTTGTAAAATGCGCCATTCTTTTGCAGGACAACTGCCCCTTCCATTACAACCCAGCCCAGTATGACTATGACCGAGATGACGTGGGAGACCGCTGTGACAACTGCCCCTACAACCACAACCCAGATCAGGCTGACACGGACAATAATGGGGAAGGAGATGCCTGCGCCGCAGACATCGATGGGGACGGTGAGGCCCTCCCTGACGGCAGCAGGCCTGGGGGCAGTGGGGACCATACTCAGCTCTCACCTGAGTTCTCTCCAGCCCTGGCTTTGGGGGTGCAGTTTGTTGAAACCCCAGAGGCTGGAGATTCCAGCCCTGACTGGTCACCTGTTCTCTGTAGGTATCCTCAATGAACGAGACAACTGTCAGTATGTCTACAACGTGGACCAGAGGGACACGGATATGGACGGGGTTGGAGATCAGTGTGACAACTGCCCTCTGGAATACAATCCAGATCAGGTAGGTGGACTCCATTGAGAATCTTCCAGTAGAGTACTGGAATAGCTTTTGCTAGGCCCTTAAAAAAAAAAAAAAAAAAAGGAGTTAGAGTTCAAACTCTTTCATGACCATTGCTCTCAGAGGTCTCAAAGCCAATTGCAATATTTTCATGAGAATGAAATCTTTCATGAGACCTCCTTGCATGAGAGCATCCCAAAAATCCTTAGTGTGACAATCTTTTAACTTCACTCGTCTATCAGGTCTTACCTACCCTGTGTGATCTACCAAATTATACAAAGCAGAAATCTGGTAACTCTAGTTATAGTAATCATTTCTGAGACTAAGATGGAAGGAAAATACTCTCAGGAAAATTAATAACTATCTTCATGGCTAACGATATAATCTGGCTGTAAGAAAACCTCAACCTAAAAATACTTCCAAAAGCTAGAGAAATTCCGGTTTGTCATTCTTCAAAATTATTTGGCATTGCAAACAGATCATTCTCTACCTGTGTGAGGGAGTGCTACATGTAGACATTAGCCAGAACAGGTTCCATGTCTGAAAGTATTTCTTTCCACGTGTAATTGGCCATCATATTTTAGCAATGTAAGTTAAGGCAGGTCTTTTTTTAAAATGCTTTGCTGTAGAAACCTGGAAACCAGCTTTTTAAAAATGGAAATTGTATAAGATCACAGAAATGATAAATCCAGCTTTTCCTCCTAACACTTGTTCTTATGAGGTCCTGGAAAACAAAAGCAACAGGATAAAGAGCTGTGGGCTGTAACAGGAATAGTGGAAGGCTCTGGGATAGCTTTGCTGAGCAAATGGCATTGAGGGTCCTCTGTTTTGAGTTTGAGTGTTACCATAAACTTCATCAATATCATTTATCTCCCTGGAAGAGTTTGTTTTGTTCCTCAGATTATAATATAACTATTCAGGCATTATGTAAATCTTACTTGCAAGAAAAATTCCAGTCTCTGTATAAATAATCTCTGAGCATCCCATGCACACTGAAGAATATGAAAGTACTGAGAAATAGTTTTGAAGAAACTTAGAAGTTTGACTTTACCTGAACCAACAAATAATCCTCATAGACTAGATGTATTAAAACCAAATACAAAAAAAATTTTAAAATCCTTAATCTCCACCATACACATGACCCAATATACACAAAAAACAGTGCCATGTTTCCATGATTTAATGAGCTAGAGTAGAAGTGGACATGTCAACAGTTTTATAACTGGAACCTTCGATGGAAAATAAGACACAAAGAATTTCATTTAATGTTGAGAAATAAGCAGTTAACAGACTGAAATCTTAATGTTTTGATCCATTAAAGTGAGGTACATTAGTGATTGATTTTATTTAGAAAGTTTTATATTTAAAAACTCTAAATATGTTTTAAAATTCATATGAAAACAAGGATCAAGAAAATTTTTTAAGATTTTATTTATTTGAGCAAGGTGAGGGAGGGGCAGAAGGAAGAAGGAGAGGAAACCGGAAAGAATCCCACACAGCCTCTACACTGAGTGTGGAGCCCAACACGGGGCTCAATCCCAGGACCCAGAGATCATGAGCTGACATCAAGAGCCAGATGCTTAACTGACTGAGCCACTCAGGTGCCGCAAGGATCAAGAAAATTTTACTACTACTACTGTTTTGGCAATAGCTTATAGACCTGAAACCCCACTGGCCATATCAAACATGGGAGAGGCTTCCATTAAGTCCTCTTTCCCATTAATGACTTAAACTTCAATTTACCTTCCCTTTCTGTCTCTTTCAGCTCGACTCTGACTCAGACCGCATTGGAGATACCTGTGACAACAATCAGGATATTGATGAAGATGGCCACCAGAACAACCTGGACAACTGTCCCTATGTGCCCAATGCCAACCAGGCTGACCATGACAAAGATGGCAAGGGAGATGCCTGTGACCATGATGATGACAATGATGGCATTCCTGATGATAGGGACAACTGCAGACTCGTGCCCAATCCTGACCAGAAGGATTCTGATGGTGAGTCAGTGAAGCCCCTTTCTAAGAGACCAACACCACGGCTATCTGGATTGAGAAAATAAAAGCAAAACTAAATGCATTTGTGAGGATAAAGAGACAAGATGCCAACTTAGAATAGATAGTCAATTTCTGAGACCAGTCATGTTTCAGAATTTCACTGAACTCTTGCCTTTTTGACCTTAGGTGATGGTCGAGGTGATGCTTGCAAAGATGATTTTGACCATGACAATGTGCCAGACATCGATGACATCTGTCCTGAAAACATTGATATCAGCGAGACTGATTTCCGCCGATTCCAGATGATTCCTCTAGACCCCAAAGGGACATCCCAGAATGACCCTAACTGGGTTGTACGCCATCAGGGTAAAGAACTTGTCCAGACCGTCAACTGTGATCCCGGACTTGCTGTAGGTGAGTAGTGAGTTCTCCATACAAAAGGCTAGTACTCACCTGGGAAAGAAGCAAATCTAAAACCTGGCGCTTATGTGTTTCCCTCAGGCTGTCTGGGAATGTAACAGAGAAGCTTCTGAAGGCTGCAGCTTTTAACCCGGGTCTGGCCTCCTTTTCCTAGGTTATGATGAGTTTAATGCCGTGGACTTCAGTGGCACCTTCTTCATCAACACTGAAAGAGATGACGACTATGCTGGATTTGTGTTCGGCTACCAGTCTAGCAGCCGCTTTTATGTCGTAATGTGGAAGCAAGTCACCCAGTCCTACTGGGACACCAACCCCACTAGGGCTCAGGGATACTCAGGCCTTTCTGTGAAAGTCGTGAACTCTACCACGGGGCCAGGAGAGCACCTGCGGAATGCCCTGTGGCACACGGGAAACACCCCAGGCCAGGTAAGAACAAAGCCCCGGAGAAGGGAGAGTGGATGCGTGCTTGACTAGCACTCAGGATGCTGTGCTTTGGCCGACACTCCCAATGCTGGGGGGCAAGGAGGGTCCTTAGATACCAAGTTCCCAGCACCATCAACTGCAGCATTACATTCTGCTTTGTAAAAACCTAATAGCGTCTGAGAAGGGAACTTGCTGTAACTAAGAGTTACCTTCAAATCCAAAGACCTTTTCAGCCTCTTCAAACAAGACTTCCCCTCTCTCTCTGCTTTATACGGACATTCAAGAGCATGCATCAAATGAAAGGCCTTGGAAAAACCCAACATTGCAGCCCTCTAATTTAGGTCCACTTGGTACCTTTTCCTTTTCCTTCAGGTGCGCACTCTGTGGCATGACCCTCGTCACATAGGCTGGAAAGATTTCACTGCCTACAGATGGCGTCTCAGCCACCGGCCCAAGACCGGCTTCATTAGGTAAAGATCGCGCTGATGATGTTTCACTTAGTCACACTGATGGGGAAGGAGAAGACCACCAAAAAGTAGGAGTGTCACTCACGAGATGTTCTTTTTCCTGCAGAGTGGTGATGTATGAAGGGAAGAAAATCATGGCTGACTCAGGACCCATCTATGACAAAACCTATGCTGGTGGTAGGCTAGGGTTGTTTGTCTTCTCTCAAGAAATGGTGTTCTTCTCCGACCTGAAATACGAATGCAGAGGTAGGAGCAACATTACTGTGAATGCAGTTGACATCTCTAATTCAGACTAATATCGAGAGTGCCAATTATGGAAGCATCTGTTTAAAAGACAGTTTTAGAGAAGGGTTGTTGATACTTTGCTGTGGAAGACCACAATAAGAACAAGGCCTATGAACTGTAGCCAATCTTAAATTATGCTTTGGTTACTATAAAAGTAGAGCTCTACGAAGGCTGATTTATTAACTGATAAAGCCAGTACCTTCGTGAATTAATGGGCTTGTATATTTATGTGTTTACTTAACAGATTCCTAATCCTCAAACTGTTGATCAAAAGACTGATCCTAACCAATGCTGGTGCTGCACCTTCTGGAACCACGGGCTTAAGAAAACCCCCAGGATCCCTCCTCCCTGCCTTTTCTCTGCTTGCATATCATTGTGGACTCCTAGAATATGGGACTTGCCTTGAGAAAATGCCATTTTCCCCAATCAGACTCCGCATGCAGCCTCTGACTGCGAAGAGACTCGTCCAAGAACATCAACAATTTCGTTGGTTTGCTTTTTGAAAAAGCAAACACATGCACGTGCTTCAGCTAGCAGGTGGCTGTCCACTCTGTTTCTGTCAGAGTAGAGTGCTATTGGGAAGCCATCTCGGAGCAGTGGACTCCAAAGCATTTCCAGGCATGTGAGAGAAGGGAGGACTCACTAGAATTGGCAAACCACCACCCTTGACCGACTCCCTCAGAACGAGGGGGAGCAGGGGCCAAAGCCCTAAGGGGAGGGCATGTCCCCAAGAGATGATTGTATGAAGACAAGATGGAGGAGCTGTTACATGTTCGGTACTAAATCATTTTCAGGGGATTGGAAGACTCTTGCTGGATTTCATGATGCTAACCAGTGTTAGCTGATTAACCCGCGTACATAGGCACTTAAATAGAAGCAGGGAAGGGAGGGAAAGACTGGCTTCTGGACTTCCTCACGGATCCCCATCCCTTAGCTATCACCCATAGTGACCACAATAGGGAGTGAGAATTAAGCCAGTGGAAGGCTGTGCTGGCTGCCCCTGCCTGCTTACCATGAAATTGTTGGTTTTATTCCACACGTAGCTTGTGCAGATGCAGCAGGAAAATCCGAAAACCTACCATCTCAGTGAGCACCAGGCTGCCTCCAAAGCAATGTGCAGCCGTGTTCGTATTTTTATGGTTAGAAAGGCACAAAATTATCAACTAAAACATTCCTTGTCTCTCTTTTTCCTGAATATCATGGAGTTTTATTTTTGTTTTTTACAAACACTTTACAATATAAAATATTTATTTTTTACTTACTCTGGAGGATATGTCTGAAAGACTATTCATGGAACAGGAAGAAGCGTAAGGACTATCCATATCAGCTTTGTTAGGAGTCTTCATGACTGTAAGATTGTAAATACAGATTATTTATTAACTCTGTTCTACCTGGAATCTAGGTTTCATATGGAAAGTGACAGCAGGTAGTGGAGATTTATCAACAAATCTCTCAAGAACGGCACGAGGAACATCAGAGTGAGCTGCTCTTCGCTTTGTGCTCAGAGTGAATGACTTGGGATCTTTTTTTGTCTTTTCAAGTGTAATTAGTTGTCCATTTGCTAGTGTCTTTAAGTTTCAAAGCAAGCCATGAGGCCTTTCAAACTGTCATGCCCCATCCCTTGTGCCTATTTCCAGGGAGAAGAAAATCATCTACACTTTTTTGTTTTTCCAAAAGAGAGAAAAAAATAACAAAGGTGAAACTTATATACAAATATTACCTCATTTGTTGTGTGACTGAGTAAAGAATTTTTGGATCAAGCAGAAAGAGTTTAAGTGTCTTACAAACTTAAAGCTACTGTAGTACCTTTAAAAAAAAAAAAAAAGGCAATGTTGTACATAGTATAAAAATTCTTTGCAGAAAAGTATTCCCAATAAGGAAATAGCATGGAAATGTTAAATACATTTTCTGAAAGTTATGTTTTTTCTATCTTATATACCATTGCTTTATTTTTATAAATTATTTTCTCATTGCCCTTGGAATAGATCTCAGATTGTGTAGATATGCTATTTAAATAATTTATCAGGAAATACTGCCTGTAGAGTTAGTATTTCTATTTTTATAAAATGTTTGCACACTGAATTGAAGAATTATTGGGGTTTTTGTTTTGTTTTTGATTTGTTTTTCGCTTGTTACTCCCCCCCGCCCCAGTTTTTACTATTTGCCAATACCTTTTTCTAGGAATGTGCTTTTTTTGTACACATTTTTATCCATTTTACATTCTAAAGCAGTGTAAGTTGTATATTACCGTTTCTTATGTACAAGGAACAACAATAAATCATATGGAAATTTATATTTATACTTACTGAATCCCTGTTTATTATTGGCTTTGTTATGAGGCGTGGGTAAATTCCATTCCTAAACCAATATGGCAGACACAAAAACACATTACAGTAAATATTACTAACATTCCCAGTTCCTATATAATTGAAGACTGATTTGCTTAGGAAACATATTCGCTGGATTTGTGGAATAATAAGAACAAAACAGGAGCCTACCATATCAAACAGGAAAGACGGGGCACCTGGGTGGCTCAGTGAGGGAAGCATCCGACAATCTCAGCTCTGGTCTTGATCTCAGGGTCCTGGGTTCAAGCCCCATGTTGGGCTCCACACTTAAAAAAAATCTTGGGAAGAAAGGACTCTTAAGATGGGGGCCCCAACAGCATATAATTTTATATTTTACTAAGGTAATGAAATGTCATCTATTGAATCCTTCCCAAAGTACAGTTCTGTTTCTACAAAGAACTGTGAAAATGGGAAAAACACAAGTGAAGCGCACACCATTCTCACAACTCCATTTTTGGACCAATGAATGACAGCACTGGGTGGACAACACAACTGTATGTTGTGGAGACGCATTAGAAGTGCTACCAAGGGAGGAGCCGTCCTTACAAATTTGGGCCAAACTCTAGACGTCACCTTTTAGAGAACGAATTCACCTTTGGTCAAAAACAGGACTAAAAAAGAATTTAGAAGAAATGCTAAAAATACATATAAAGTATCAAATTAGTTTTTGAAGAGCAGGCCAAAGCATTACAATAAGCAGACCTTGAGTTTTGGGTGAGCTAACAATGAATGTAGAATACTGACCGATTGATTGCCAGTTTTAATAAGAACAGGTAGAATCGGAAATCTTAGGAGTAGGCTAATGGTCTGGCTTTGGGGTCCACTAAACTCTAGAAATGACTGGCTGACTGAGATAGACTTTCCTTGTTGACTTCTGTCTCTTCTCCATCAAAGGCAGCATAATCATCTTGAAGTATAAATTGCCAAATCATTTCATGGTGCCCAGATAAAGAATCAAGCACTAGAAGCTATCAGAAAGGGTTATAGGGGGAAAAAAATGATAACAGAGTTTGGAAAACTGATTTGAAAGATAATTCTTTCAAATAGGACATCATTCCTTCTCAGAAGAGCACAAACATGGCAAGTCTTGGGAGAGAATTCTAATTCACTTTTAAGTAGCAAACCTACAGTCACTGAAAAGATCCTGATAGGATGGTGAAAAGAAAGGGCACCTGCACCCCAATGTTCATAGCAGCAATGTCCACAGTAGCCAAACTGTGGAAGGAGCCAAGATGTCCTTCAACAGATGAATGGATAAAGAAGATGTGGTTCATATATACAATGGAATATTACTCAGCCATCAGAAAGGATGAATACGTACCATTTGCATCAACATGGATGGAACTGGAGGGGATTATGCTAAGTGAAATAAGCCAAGCAGAGAAAGACAATTATCATATGGTTTCACTCATATGTGGAACATAAGGAATAGTGCAGAGAACCAGAGGGGAAAGGAGGGAAAATGGGGAAGAAATCAGAGAAGGAGACAAACCATGAGAGACTCTGGATTCCAGGAAACAAACTGAGGGTTACAGAAGGGAGGGGGTGGGGGGAAGGGGTAACCAGGTGCTGGGTACTAAGGAGGGCATGTGTTGTGATGAGCACTGGGTGTTATATGCAACTAATGAATCCTTGAACACTACATCAAAAACTAATGATGTACTATATGTTGGCTAATTGAACATAAAAAAAAAAATCCTGATAGGACAGAAAAAGTGTATAGGAACAGGACTTTTTTCCCCAGGCATGTTCCATGTTTACTCTGAGACTCACCTTCAAATCAGTAGGTTGTATTGAAACAAAGGGCTTGTTAAAAATTAAAATTACACCATCAGGGTGAGAGCTTCTTCCTGCTATGAGAATTTATTGTCATCCTGTATTTCAGAGAGAGTTGGATTGAAGGGCAATAAACTTCAGGTCCTTCAGGAATTTACAATAAAGGTGGTGCCAGGAGTTTTCTTGAGAAGTCATAAGCAGAAAAACCTCAAATTTTAAGATTCTAAAGATGCTCTTTCATACTTTTTCTTCTCTATCTTGTTCTGGGGCAAAGACTCAAGTCTAGAGGGAACCTTAAAATAAAAACACTGATTTTTAATAAGAACATGTCCTCTCCTTTCAGGGTAACATTTAAAAAAAAAAACTCTGGGGCCTTCATGTTGAATTACATTATACCTCTGAATGTACCTGGATCTCATCTGAATTACATTATATATTCAGCTTACCAGTCCCTGTTAGAGGTCCTTTCAGTTGATGAGCTATGGAATGGTGTCCCCTCTTTCTTTCTTTTTTTTTTTAAAGATTTTATTTATTTATTTGAGAGAGAGAATGAGAGACAGAGAGCACGAGAGGGAAGAGGGTCAGAGGGAGAAGCAGACCCCCCGCTGGGCAGGGAGCCCAATGTGGGACTCGATCCCGGAACTCCAGGATCATGACCTGAGCCGAAGGCAGTCGCTTAACCAACTGAGCCACCCAGGCACCCCGGTGTCCCCTCTTTCAATGGCAAAATCCATTACTTAAGATCATTCTGTCTTCCTTCCCTTCTCATAAATTCTTATAACATAAAGGCTCATTACACCCCAAATACTATTTGCAGAAACACTTTATGAAGCCATAAGCTCTCAACCCCTCTACACACACACACACACACACACACACACACACACAAATACCAGAAGAACACAGGTTTAGAAAGCTGAGCTCCTCAAAAAGGGTGATGGGCCAAAATGGCTCCTATCTGTCACCACTCCAAATTCCCACCCATGTCACCTCTCCCAACTCAAACCTTACAACGCACATGTCATTCCTAGGAGAGTCTAAAAGCATGACATTAACCTCTGATGGTACCCCACAACAAAACTCTTGACATCAAGATGAATTACACTGTCACACATTGAGCCACCCAGGCTCAATGACACAAACCATTGTTATTCTCATGTCAACTGAAAGAGGAGGCTCAAAAAAGAAATTGCCTATCAACTCCTCTGAAAATAGTAGCTACAGAATTCATTTTTTAAAAGTCCAGGAAATGTGATGTAAGCGATCCTTAACATCATCCACTATCAGTAGATGAAAATAGTCAGCTCATTTCTATTTCATCAGAAATAAACTGGACTTCTAATTCTAGTGCCAACTCATTGTAAAAAAGCGCTGACATAAAATCTTCTCATGAATCCAAGGACTGACTTGTAACTAGACAAAACTCCTCTCTTAAAATAGAACCAAAGAACTTTTCTTAAGTAGCTAATCTTTATTTGCTGCATTCTCATTTCTTTTAGTGCACTCTAGAGAAAAAAGTCTGAGTATCTTCCCTTTGCCCTCTCTATATGGTGTTTAGGACATGTTGATTAATACCCATGTATTTAAGAATATCATCCATCTATCACCAGTGTAACATAAGAACGACCAAAAAGAAGATTTAGAAGACCTCTTATAGGGCCCTTTTATAACAGTTGTGTACTAAATTACTATCTAGAAAGTGGTTGTCTCTTTCTACGACATCTGTCAGTCTAACATGGGGAAGCACCAACACATTATTTAATATTTTAATAATTATTTATTATTTATTTATTATTAATCCCCTCCAGTCTTCAAGATATTTAAAATTAGAGGGTTTACCACAGTATTCTCATTGGAAAACAGTAGGAGATTAGTAACCGCAGTGAATATATGTCTGCTTCCTCCTAAGCACTCGTTGCTATGGCTTACTTTTTTCTATTGTCCCTAGTTTCTACATGTTATTCCAGGAAGATTAACCCAATTCCCATCTAGGAAAAGTAAGCATGAATCCCTGACTACACCAATCATCACAGTCCATCCCTCGGCCACAGAATTTGCTTCAGAGATGAGAAGGTGATTAAGTTGGTACAATCAAAGCGAGGCATGGAACCTCTGCTCAAAATTCTGACATAAATACTCTCTCCAACAGGATGATATAGTTGCTGCATTCTGAAAAATGATAACTGATAATAAAAATCAAGTAATTCAGGGGCACCTGGGTGGCTCAGTCAGTTGAGCGTCTCTTCGGCTCGGGTCATGGTCCCAGGGTCCTGGGACCGAGTCCCGCGTCAGGCTCCCTGCTCAGCAGGAAGCCTGCCTCTCCCTCTCCCTCTGCCTGCCTCTCTACCTGCCTCTCTGCCTCCTTGTGCTCTCTCCCTCTCTCTCTCTCGTTCTCTATCAAATAAATTTTTAAAAAATCAGGTAATTGTTTAAACTCCTGTTTAAGCCAAGTAGCATTGCCAATAAGAAAGCAAAGTCTAGGGGCGCCTGGGTGGCTCAGCCATTAAGCGTCTGCCTTCAGCTCCGGTCATGATCCCAGGGTTGTGGGATCAAGCCCTGCATCGGGCTCCCTGCTCGGTGGGAAGCCTGTTTCTCCCTCTTCTGCTCCCCCTGCTTGTGTTCCTGCTCTAACTCTCTCTGTCAAATAAATAAATAAAATCTTTAAAAAAAAAGAAAAGAAAAAAGAAAAGAAAGCAAAGTCTATGCTAACATTGCTTTGTTGAGAAAATTCATTTTTTTCCTGTGGTGCGTTGTACTTGCCACCAAGCATTAGAGAGGAGGAAAGCTGGAAAAATCAGGGCCCAAGTAAGAATTCATAGTGATTAAATCTGTCTGAATCCCAATGAAGTTGTAACACATAAAATCAAACATAAAGTCATCATAGCACTTCAACTAGTTTTAACATAGCACGCACATACATAAAATGTTGGTTTCTATAATGTATCCCTGATGTTACAAAATTGGCAATAAAACACAATTTTACCAGGAATTTCAATGGAAAAAAAAAACCACTGACCAATTGTATCCCAAGTCTCAAAAATATCAAAGAAATAGAATCCAGGTAGAGAAAATCCAAATATTAAAATCATTATTTGAGGAATGGTCCCTATAAATGCAGTCACTGAATATATGAATTCAGAAAAAAATTATGTAATTGAATTTACCAACTTTCTTAAAAGCACACCCAGCAAGTCTTTGCTTAAGATTCTTTCCATTCTTCCGTCACATCTTCAGTCTCCTGTTCACCTGCACATTGAAAACAATAACCGAAATTGTTAGGCAATCAGAAATGTGTACATAATTAAGAAAAATTATTCAACCTACAGAACAGTAAGTCATTTTACACATGAGACAATAGTCATTCTCATTTAATATTTGAACACTCACCACAAGCTGCATACAAAGTTTACAAGAAAAAAACAAAAGAGAAGGTGCTCGCCTTCATTTAGCTTACAGCCAAGAGGGAACTTTGTAGGTTTTAAGAACTAGAATGGTTATGGATTTGGAGATGGCATCAACTTTCGTTGTTGCTTGCTTTGCATTATTTCCAGGAAGCAGGGTGAAAACAGAAGTAAATGAAACGTTCAGGGTGGATAAGAACTGATCATCTGCCATTTCTTCATTGTGAGAGAAAAGAAATGAGACACTAACAGAAAGGACATGGAAATATTCTCCCAACCTTAGTGAGAAGGTTACCAGAAAAGGCAGAAGTGGTAAGAGAACCAACTAAAAGAAGACAATAAAATTGAATCCAGAAACCAGAAAAACTGAAGCCCTCATCCACCACAGGTGGGAATGTAAAATGGTGCAGCCACTTTGGAAACCAACCCAGCAAGTCCTTAAAAAGTTACCACAGACCCAATAATTCTAGTCCTACGTATATGCCAAAGGGAAATGAAAACATCCATCCACCCAAAAATCTGTAGGCCAGTTGTTTGGGGTTTTGGGTTTTTTTTAAGATTTTATTCATTTGGGGTGCCTGGGTGGCTCAGTCGGTTGTCTGCCTTCGGCTCAGGTCACAATCTCGGGGTCCTGGGATCGAGTCCCACATCTGGCTCCTTGCTCAGCGGGGAGCCTGCTTCTCCCTCTGCATGATGCTCCCCCTGCTTGTGCTCTCTCTCTCTGTTAAATAAATGAATAAAATCTTTCTTAATTTTAATTTTTTTTAAAGATTTTATTTACCAGAGCGTGAGCTCTCTGTTAAATAAATGAATAAAATCTTTTTTAATTTTTTAAAAAGATTTTATTTATTTACCAGAGAGAGCATGAGCGTACAAGCAGTGGGAGCAGCAGGCAGAGGGAGAAGCAGGCTCCCTGCTGAGCAAGGAGCCGGATGTGGGACTCGATCCCAGGACCCCGAGATTGTGACCTGAGCCGAAGGCAGACGCTTAACCGACTGAGCCACCCAGGCTCCCTGTAGGCCAATTTTCATACCAGAATTACATACAACAGCTAAAAAGTAGAAATAACCCAAATGTCCACCCACTGACGAAAGGATAAAGAAAACTGGGTATAGCCATACAAGAGATTATCATTCAACATAAAAAAGAACAGAGTACGGATACCTGCTACAACATGGATGAACCCTGAAAATATTTTGCTAAGTGTAAGAAGCTAGACACAAAAGGCCACATATTGTTATGATTCCATTTATATGAAATGTCCAAACTGGGAAAATTCATGGAGACAGAAAGCAGATTAGTGGTTGCCTAGGGCTGGGGGCATTGGGGGAAAACGGGGAGTGACTACTAATGGGTATGGCGTTTGTTTGGGGGGTGAGGAAAATGTTGTCAAATCGAGAGTGGTGATGGATGCATAATTCTGTGACTATAAAAACCACTGAATTGTAAAGTACTGTTGAATGGTGGCCAAAAAATGTTATGTCCACATTCTAATCCCTTGAACCTGTGAAAGTTACCTTATTTGGGAAAAGGGTCATTGCAGATCGAACTGTTAAGGATTTTTTTTTTTTTAAGATTTTATTTATTCATTTGAGAGAGAAAGAGACAGAGGAAGAGGGAGAAGCAGACTCCCCACTGAGCTGGGAGCCAGACATGGGACTTGATCCCAGGACCCTGGGATCATGACCTGAGCTGAAGGCAGACAGACACTTAACTATCTGAGCCACCCAGGTGCCCCATGAACTGTTATGGATCTTGAGATGATCCTGGATTAATCCAGGTGGGCCGTAGGTTCAGTAACAAACGTCCTTCCAAGAGAAAAGCAGAGGCAGATTGGAGACACACACGGAGAAAAAGGCCACATGAAAACAGAAGCAGAGATTGGCAGGATGTGGCCACAAGGCGAGAAAGCCAAAGAATGTCAAAAGTCTGAGACACTGGAAGAAGCAAAGAGGCACTTTTCCCTAGAGCCTCCAGGCAGAGTATGGCCTTGCTGACTCTTTGATTTCAGACCTCAGGCCTCCAAATCTTTGAGATAGTAAAAAATTCTGTTGTGATCATCTGTTGTGGCAACCATAGGAAATGAATACGGGTATATAAAATCTATGTCGATAATGCTGTTATTTTTAAAAGTCAACCTAATCATTAAGGACAAATGATTCGGAGTTTCAGAGAGTGAAGTGAGAAATGTAGTGATAGTGTCCACACACGGATGAAAAATATTAAGCAGGGAGAAAGGTGGGATAGAGGAGAAGCAGACCTCAATATCCCACACATGAGATGAGGAATGATAAGAGTGGCCCAGGCCTTCCCAGGTACTATTTCTTCTATCTGGAGTGTTGTCCTTCTTGCCTACCCAGTAAATGACCCTCATCCTTGGAGGCTCAACTTGAATGTCACTTCCCCATCTCCCCAGTGTTCATCATTCCCTCTGTAGTGTGGCTACAGACTTTGTCCCCAAGCTCTTACTACTCTTGTCTCGCCCCTGCTGTGATTATATGCTTAAGTGCCTGCCTTCATCAACAGACAATGAAATAATTCAGAGTTGTGATTGTGTCCTATTCCTTATATCCTAGAACAATGTCCTTAATGAATGAATACTGATGTCCAGAGCCAACCCCTAGAAATAGATTTAATTCATCTGGGATGGAACCAAGGCATTAGTCTGTTTTAAATTTCATCAAGTGATTCTAATATGTTGCCAATGTAAGAAGCATCGCCTAAGGGATGGACTTAAAATAGCTTAAAATGCCAGACAGATCTGAGGCAGATGCCAAGTAGAGATCTGAAAATCAAAAGTATACAGAGCACAGATGATCCCGTACCGGTTATATGTGTCTCCAAATAAATTCTCAACCATGAAAGAGTTGAGAACTCAAGTTAGGGCATGCTTGTTCTTGGTGACTAAAGGGAAGGTTACCCAAAAGCAGGACAGGACAGATGTTTAGAGAGATAAGACAATCTGGAGAAGGTAGTACCTTCATTAAAATGAAATTTAAGAAGAAAAAGTAGGAATTGAGCCGATGGAAAAGAAGATATCTTCTGACATTATTTTCACCACCACCATATAGATAATCCTAGAGTAGAGTAACTAGTAAACCATCTAGTCCAGAGCTTCTCACACTTTAACAAGCGCACAAATCACCTGCTGGGGCATCTTGTTAAAGTGCAGACTCTGAGACAGTGGGTCTGGAGCAGGGCCTGGAACTCTGCATTTCTAACAAGCTCCCAGGACTGCTGGTGCAAAGATCTAGTCCATAGCTAGGATCTTAACTTTTTCATTTTACCCAATTTGAATGAAGCAATGGAATCACAAGTTCTTATTAACTGATAAAAGGATAATACATTACAATTAAATACCAAACCTCTCCAACATGTTATTGTTGACACTACTAAACAAAATGATAAAGTGGTATTTTATGAGTAGATGAAGAAAATAATCAGTGGCACATATTCACATGAAAAGCCCACCTCAAATCAAGAATGAAAGACAGCATGAAAGAAAATTAGTTGAAAGTAACTAAAAAAGATAAATTCATTGAGTATAAACTTACTAAAGTGTAATATCAAAAGGTAATGAACCTCGGAAATTTCTCATATAGCAACTCTGATATTTTGATCAAATAAATTTTGGGGAGTTAAGTTACTGAGAGCATCTGAAAGCAAAGAGTAGCCTTGAAAAAGGAATTTAACAAATAATAACTAGGAGGCCTGAAGGCACACACAGTTTGAGAGAAACAGAACTCCATCAAAGCAAAGATGAGTTAAGTATTTCCCTAAGAGCAAGCCAACATATTTTTTAATGGAAAAAAAAAAGTTAGCTAATAGAGTTTCTTATTTTAGACTCTCCGTGCTCCACTACAAGCCAGAAAGCCAGTATTACCACAAAGAAAACTTTCTCAAAACAATCTAGTGCCTTTGAAACCGTTCAGGTGGCCGGAGTAAGGACATACACTAACATACATATCCTTCAAAACTGCAACATCCTTCACAAAAGCCAATCCAACTACAACCGACTCAAGTTACATTCAAAAGTTACCATCAATGGTGAATCCCTATATTGTACACCTGAAACTAATTGAACATTGTATGTGAACTATACTGGAATTAAAATAAAAATTAACAATAAATAAGTAGGAAGTTCCAATCAAATAAACTGGTGGGCAGGGTTTCAACATGAAGTATAATCAGACCACACAGTTGTCATTGTTGGTCACCTTGTCTCTGAGGACCCCAATGGAATAACATAATTCGCTTTCTTACATCTATACTGAAATCTGTATTTCTCAAATACGTATAGCAAAATCTTGTAGCTTGCATTAATTTGACCGGCTGAATGCTCCATGCCGGGGACTCTGATTGCAGGGAGTCAGGCTAGGGCCTTGGACACAGGTATAAAACAAGCAAGCAAAGAACTCCCCAGATGATCCTGATGCTCTGTGCTCTGTAACAGGGCTCCTCGAACCTCCCAGAAAGTGTCACTGGGGGATCTTATTGAAGTGCAGACCATGAGTCAGTAGGTTTTCTAATAAGCCCCCAGTGACTGGGCCACACTGGAAGCAGCAAAGGCTTATAACATGGGATGGAAATCATATGGCTTAAAAGGGCCAGGCGCGTGAAGTAGAGAGGGGCAGATGGGGGTCCTGTGCCCCTGGAGGTACATGCCCCTTCCAAAGGGAACGTCTGCTACTCAGCTCTCCTCACTGGTGGAAGGACCTGCTGATTTGTCAGAAAAGTCAGAAGTCCAGGCTTTTATGGGAAATCTCCTGATTAAATGTCAAGTGCAGAAGTCCCTCTTATCCACAAGGAGTATGTTCCAAGACCCTCAGTGGATGCCTGAGACCA